GTTTATTTTCGAATCAAAATCTGATTTGCGGATTTTTGTTAGTTAGAACTTGGAAAATCTTCCTCCTCTGGCGTAGAAATTATTCTGTTTCTGTTGGTTGTTCAAACTGTTCATTGGTAAGAGAAGAGAGACCAGATAATTGGGTTGGATCTAAATGCACGGATACATATAAAGGTCCAATATAAGAACATGTATATTAGGTCCATATAATTAGAATTAACGGTTCTGTTGGGCCTCCATCACTTCCCAAAACCACAACCACAACAAAAGAGAAAATTGCTACCAAAATTTCTGCCGAAAATAGTAGAAAATATGTCAATATGAAAAGTTTAAAAAAGTATATAGGTTAACTTTTAGTTATAGAAATTAATAGGACATAACTTGTCAAATTATGATTTATAACTAGATAAGTTATGGACAAATTTATCAAGTTATGGTTCATAGTCAGACAAGTTATGGACAAAAACCGTGAATTATGAACAATAACTTGTCAAGTTATAGTTCATAACTAGATAAGTTATAGACGTAAATAGTAATTTTACCTATTTATTAACTTATGTAAATTATTGACCTATTAATTTTAATTCATCTCAAATCTTGACCTATTTTTCTCTTTTTTCCAATTTCTGCATCGGCTAGTATCGGGATTAACGTTGTTGGGCAAGTTGATAATGGACATTCACAACACCCTTCTGTCAATATAACAAAGAAATCGGAAAATTAAGATAAAATTAAAAAAAAAAAAAATGAAAACACAACGTCATCTGCTTGCTGATAATCTCATCATGTGTATATATAAGTAGTCTTTACGGTGGAGCAAGTTATTTTGCTCCACCTGTGACAAGTATTTTTGTAGTTAGATTTATTTTTCAACAATCAAATATGAAATAAGAAATTTTTAATATGAATTTGTACAGATTTAACTGTTAAAAAAGTGTAGAGTAAAATAGCTTAATCCACTATGAAGATTCCTATATATAATAAATATATATGTTTATGTATATATATGCATACATGTTCGAAATAATTTCAGTAACAAAACTTCATTTTCACAAGTTAAGGCAGCGTGCGAACTAAGTGAACCCACACGTGATCCCATATAACAGGAGCAATCACATCGTGTGACGATGTCGCATTCAAAGCATTAAGCAATTTTCGAAAAATATATAAAATAAAATAAAAAAACAACAACAACAACAAAATTATTGGACTATTTATTTGAAGAATGACTTGGCCGTTACCGTTATTAAACACAACAGCTAACAAAAAGTAAACTCTATTATGAACTCTATATTGTGAAACTCATTTTTATTTAGTGTGCGCGCTATACCTTTCAATATTATTATTCTATCTGTTTTCATCCTAATTTCAGGACCCATAATCTTGTGAACTTGATTGGTATATAGTTGAACTTTAACCCCCGTTATCGAAGACCTCTCCAATCCCACTTGACCATATATATATATATATATATATATTTTTTTTCTTTTTCAAGAGTCGTTGTCTTTTTGATAATTTTATATATTCTAGTGGTTGCCTAAAAGGGGCCATTGGTATGTTGAATTCATGTTTTCGTTCTTGCTTGCAGCATTAATTTGTGCATGAGTTCTCTTCTAATAAGAATGTTTCAAAATATATATTAACGTTGTACTAATTAATTAACTTGTGGGGATTTTGTTTCCAATTTTCTCTTATTACTCCCGTAGAAAGTTGAATAATTAAATCTTTTGTACTTAAAGAAAAAAAATCCCTTGCTAAAGGATCCAACTATAGAATAAACTCTCTAAAAATGTGTTGAAGCTGCTGTTAGTAAATTCTATGTGACTTTATCGAATTACACCTTCATGTATTTGCTTGCTAGATTCTATCCAACCAACAAATTAAAGGAGAAAAAAGAAATTATGCTTCCTAATTCTACACTTTATATATGTTTTCGTACGGAGAATATGATGCCCTAGTTATAAACTTTTTCACTTTTTTCTTTTTCTTTTCGAAATAAAGATGGTGATTTCATTCAATAAAAACAAATAGTATAATCGCAGATATGGTGAAAATGACACTTCAAAAAAAAAAAAGATATGGTGAAAATACAAAATCAGTTTAACAAAACATTCATATACGGTAAAACAAACCAGTCAAATCATCCTTTCGACTGAATATGAGAAGATTTTATCATGTATTCTTTTAGTTAGTGTGCACATAACAAATCCAATGTTGTTTTTTAATATATATTAGTCCATCTAAAATCTACCATATATGATTTTTCGTAGTCATAGATAGATATGATTAAAAAAACGCATAAAATACACTAAAAAAATACGAAACCGCAACTAGATAGAGATCTTAGGAAACGAAACGAATTACAATTGTATATTGAGATATTCAATGTCTAGTTTACTGTAACAGAGAGAAAAATTCACTTTTCTTAGACAACTTGCTAGACAACTATGCTTAATTGCTTAGACCACTTGCTAGAGGTTTTCTAGAAGGAGAGAGAGAGAGAGAGAGAGAGAGAGAGAGAGAGAGAGAGAGAGAGAGAACTATTTAGGGGATAGATATTTAAGCAAATTTCCTCCAATATCCTTTTTATTTTGAATTTAGAGTGGGCAAAATTTAAATTCTATATCTCAATAGGAAATTAGATGTGAAATTGTTACTATTAATAAAATTTATTCGATCCACGTCAGTTTATCGTGAATTTATTTCTTCCTTTTTTGGTCAAAGTGATTTTTTTTCTTTTTGTTACATTGAGAATTCATTTTATATATATATATATTTTTTTTTTTTTTTGACAATCAATCTCATTAAATTAGGGACGTAGATTTTAAACTAAAGAAATAAATAAATGAGGCACGTAGATATTTGGAGAAGCATGTAGCGATATAAGGAAAGTTCAAGACCGATAAAACAATGTTCATATACGCACGATATTTGACCCACTTGAGGTGTGACAAGTGTCAGTATCCTATCCTCATGAGTCAATGACGAGGCAAAGTCCAACCACAAATTTGATGCTGTGGAGCTTCTTTAAATCACATGCGTGGCACCTTGGCCCCACATTTCCTTTTCCACTACATGATTTATTAGTTATTTACTTTTTTGGCTCCTTCCTCGAAACGCGCCTTCTACAATCTACATATCACCAAAATAAAATACAATATTTTCTCTCCAAAAACAGAACTATGGCGAGCCATTCTCAATAATCATAATTTAAAATTATTTTTAATTTATGTATATTTTTTATAAAAAAAAATATTATAATAAATTATGAATTATGATCTGAACTATGATACGAATTCACCAACTAAACGCACACTAATATTATAAACGCGCCTTCTACAAATCGCAAAAATGAAATACATCTTCTTGAAGTTTTGCTAAGATGAAGTTTTGAATTTGTTCACGGGCACAAAATGAGAGATCATTTTGCATATAGGCACTCATCTTTTTTATGACTTGATGAACAAAAAAAAAAAAAAAAAAAAAGAGAAGAAAAGAAAAAAACAAAGCATTGCAAGTCCCTTTGTCAACTTTTGACGTATTAATAATATAAGATAGACTTTCGAGTCCAGGGCTTTAAAGAAGTAGCGGCTTGGATCTTCTCTAGTAGATACCATGCATGCATTGTAGGGCTAGTAATTTAGATAGTGATACGATGACACGATTTATAATTCGTACGAAGTTAATAGGTTTGAGTTTATTATAAATAAATTTTGCTCATAATCAGGTTGACATAATTAATAAATGAGTTGAGTTAGAGTTGACCTCCTAACACGAATTGACATGATTAACTATATGTATCATCTATAATCTAATAATATGTTATATAATAGGAAAGTTTATATAACATATTAAATACAAATAATGTGAATTTTAATATGTGTAGGTAAAATATATTTATTTGTTTTAAGAAAAAAATAAATTAATCAATAAACATGTTAAACTTGTCTTGACTGTGTTAAATAAGTTATTATTATATTAATTATTTATTCAATATATTAATTTAAACGAATTATATAAGTTGACACGATTAATAAAACTAATAAATAAATCATATTTAAATTAATATTTTTAACACGTTTAATAAATAAATTATATTTAAATTAAAATTTTTTAATACGATTAATAAATAAATTAACACAATATAATTTATTAACAAGAATTGCCACCTTAGTCAAGTACCTGACAATCAATTTGTACTCTTCTCAATTTTTCGGGCACTAGTTTATCAAAAATAAAAAATAATAAAAAAAATCTTTGATGGACTTTAAGAATACATCTGTATCTAAAATATCTTTCGTAGTACGGACTAGGGACATATTAAAAGAAAGAATGTGAGTTTGTTTTAAAGATTATATTTGATTTAAAATTTTAGTTTTAAATTTTATTATATTATTTTTGTATAAGAAATTTAAATTTTATAAATTAAAATTATGAGCTATGTTTTTAAATTAATGAACTAAATGTTCGAAGATATTGAGAATCTTAAAATGGCTGTTGGATATAATTATTTATGGTATCATTAATCCTTATAGAACACTCACCAAACCTTGAGATATATATATATATATATATATGTCTAATTACAAAAACTAGTGGCTCCAGTGCTTCTTTGAATGCTTTATTTTAAAAACATTACATATTTTTCTTTGGAAAAATTATTATGTTTGGCGTATTATAGATATTTCTGCGTTTCAATGTCGACATACATGTGAAGAATAAATATAAATTAATAAGAGAAGGTCGACGAAGGTCCCATAATTTTTGGGGAAGACGTGTAATTAAAATTCAAGATTGTTCGCAACTTGCAAAAATAATATTACGTTAGGCTTCTAGCGTCTTCCATGCCAACTACTAAACGTAGGCCCTTCTCCAGAACCTTCATGGAACCATTCCATCCACCGTTGCTTTACTGCTTGAGACACGTGTAGGGCGTGGATTCAAAGATCTTATTAAAGATCATGATCGATATTTTATATTTTAGCCCCAATATTATTTCTCCCCATTTTTGTTTAGTTCCATTCACCCCACGCTTATTTAAGCACCTCGCCTCTCATTTGTCCTCCAATTAAGAAAACCAGCACAAAACAACCTACGAAAAAACAAAAAACCACTCAACTCCTCTCTCTCTCTCTCTCTCTATCTCTCTCTCTATCTCCGTATCATATCATAATATGGCTCCGGAACTCGTGCGGGCATCTGTAAAACCAGCGTCGTTTAATGCGAAAGCGGCGAGTCTTCCGAGGCGAGCGTACGTGACGTTCCTGGCGGGCAACGGTGACTACGTGAAAGGCGTGGTTGGGTTGGCGAAGGGATTAAGGAAGGTCAAAACGGCGTATCCTCTGGTCGTTGCGGTTCTTCCCGATGTGCCCGAAGAGCACCGTCGGATCCTGGAGTCGCAGGGATGCATAGTCAGAGAGATCGAACCCGTTTACCCGCCCGAGAGCCAGACCCAGTTCTCCATGGCCTACTACGTCATCAACTACTCCAAGCTACGTATCTGGGAGGTACGTACGTACCTTTTGTTTTTTTTGTTTGGCTTACGTGGCATTGGTTCATGATTTATACGTGGATTGATCATCACTCCAATGCTCCCATTATCACACGCGGCATTTGTTTTTTAGGTAGCGACAAAAAAATTCAAGTTGGCGAAAATGCCCTTGCTTTTTATTCGATATTTTCATCATCTTAGTCACCTTTAAACCTGTCTATTTGTTGGCTTTAATTACATAATTCTTATTCGTTTATAATTTTTTATATATTTACTAATAATACATACGATATCAATAATTAATCGCAATAAAAATAGAATATTCAATAATCAAGATTGACATTTTGTTAATTATGATATAAAAATGCCTTGGAAGTAATACATAATTTAAAAATAATCACTTTTTTTTTTTTAATGTTTTTACAGTTCGGGGAGTACAGCAAAATGATATACTTGGATGGAGATATTCAGGTATATGAGAACATAGACCATCTATTTGAATTGGAAGACGGGCATCTCTACGCAGTGATGGACTGCTTCTGCGAGAAGACATGGAGTCACACTCCACAGTACAAGATCGGATACTGCCAGCAGTGCCCTAACAATGTCCAGTGGCCCACCGAGTCGGGCCCACCACCGGCCCTCTACTTCAACGCCGGCATGTTGGTGTTTGAGCCCAGCCTCTCCACCTATCACGACCTCCTCAACACCGTCAAGATCACCCCTCCCACTCCTTTTGCTGAACAGGTACCTAATTATTTATTTATACTTGCAGAATAATATTTAATCTGATTTTGTTTTGATTTTTTTGAGGGATTTTATTAATTAATATTTTTTAATTTGAATTGTTTTACAGGACTTTTTGAATATGTACTTTAGAGATATGTATAAGCCTATCCCACTTGTGTATAATCTGGTTCTGGCCATGTTATGGCGTCATCCGGAGAATGTGGAGCTTGAGAAGGTCAAAGTGGTCCATTACTGTGCAGCGGTAAGTATTTAATTAATTAATTAATTTTTTTAATCTAATTTTAATTATTTAATTACTCTTGGTTATAAATATTACAGCATACATTATAATAATAAATACATGGATTGGAATTAATTTATTGAATTTATAATGAAATCAGGGATCAAAGCCATGGAGGTATACGGGGAAAGAAGAGAACATGGAGAGAGAGGACATAAAGATGCTGGTGAAGAAATGGTGGGACATTTACAACGACGAGTCGTTGGATTACAAGAAATCAGTGGGAGTGGGAGCCACACAAAACGACGCCGAGCCGGTGAATATGCAGCCGTTCCTCGCCGCTCTCTCCGAGGCGGGAGCCGTCAAGTACGTCACGGCTCCATCGGCGGCTTAAACGAGCCGATCTCTCTAGTCTCTACAAAGCTGATATTGAAGAAGCAGGTGATCAAGAGTACTTGAAAAGAACGTTTAGGTTTCTTTTTTTTTCTCCTATGAGGGATGGAAATGGCTTTGGTGTTTGTGTTAAGGAAATGGGGGGATTAATTAATTATAACTAAGCATTTTCTGGGGTTAGTTTTGCTTTTGATGCACGGGTCAATCATAATCCTTTTTATTGCCTTAATTTGCTTGGGTATCAACTCTGTCCCAACCTAATTGGAGGCTTCTAGTGTTAATTACGTCTGTTGATATACTTGTGTATTTGTGATTATTAGGGTCGTGAGTTTTTGTCATGCAAAAAAGAAAGAAAGAAAGAAAAAAAAAAGGCAACTGTAATCTTTTCACAGACTTATGGTGAAATGCTAATATATTAATTACTCTTTTTGTAGATTATTCACCATCTCTTTGTGCTTTTTCTCATCTCCGCATAAGATTCTTGTTTTCTTTTGGTGATTAATTGGATGCAAATTCAGTAAAGTTTATGTGTGGTATTTAAAATCACTTATAATGAATGAGCAAATATAAATTAATGCCAAGATTGGTGGGGAAAACGACGTAATATACAAACCAAAATGGTGATTATCCAATTATGTAGCTAGTGTCCTATGGTTGGTGCCAAAGTACTACTGATACGCATAAAAAAAAGTAATAATAATGGAGGACAAATAAAAACTCTGACTAAAACACTGCAAATTGATTCGATGTTGCTCTCCTCTGTGTTCTTGATCTGTTTATTATTTATTTTTATTTACTTGATATTATTTTTCTCCCTCTCCGTCTTTCTGTACTTTTTTCGTTTCTTTGAAAAGAGAAAATTCCGAGAATAACGCCGGGATCACCGGGATTGCAGTAGTACAAGCTCTTTCAAAAGACACATGAACCATTCCTCGAAGTTGCACTGGTAAAGCTATGAAGAAGACAAAAGCGAAAAAAGGATAATGGAGACGATAATAATGAGGTACAAATATATATATATATATATATGGGTGCGTCTATTTGACACCTTGTTTCTACTTTTTACACCCATTTTTAAATCATTTCTAATTCTACTTGTTACATTTCTTTTAAAATTTCAAAAAAATCCTCATAATTAAATCACCTCATATTACTTTAAAAAAGTCCTCACAATTAAATCATCTCATATTACTTTTCACACACCTTCTATATATTTGTTACATCCCTAATAAAATTTTTGTATAAATGAACAGCCTTTTATTTATTACATTTTTAATATGATTTCAGATATAATAATTTATAGGAAATACTTCATTACCAAAAACAAAAAGGAAATTGTGAAATTGAAATAACAAATTAATCCGTATATAAATCATTAATATATTGAGCAGTATACAAATCGTTAGAAAAAAATACCTTTACGTTTTTATTTTTTATTTTTATTTTTATCAGCATTCATGCCTGTACGTTGAAACTCATTTCTTATCCTTCTAGAGAAATAAGGCAAAATGGTTTTCAGCATAGAATATATATATATATTTATATTTATTTAGAGTTGGGTTGTGTGATGAGTATTTTTTTTAGCACTTTATTCGTAGATAGAAGTAATTTTTAATGGTGGGGTGTATAATGAGTATTTTTAAAAATATTATTGTACTTAAAAGTAATTTTATTAATGAGTAATTTAATAATATTAAAAAAGGGTGTGTGAAAAGTAAAAAAATAGATGTCAACGCGTCCGAAATATATTCATTCATGTATAAGCTGGGAAACCTAAGGAATAAAGGTTTGGTCTTTAATTAAAGATGATCTGAAACGAAATAAAACAAAGTTAATTGAGCATGTAAAAAGAAAGGAGAGACCGTACGTTTATAAAAGAAAGAGGAATAAATTCCCGCTACTATCGGTTTTTAACAAAAATATTGAGCTTAAATAGAACACGAGAAGAAAATATAATAAGCAAACATAAACTTTTTCTGAAATGACAAGATCTCGTTACCTTATCTGTTCCTCAATCCTCGCTAATACCAAACTATTATTAAGAATAAGAAAAAGGAAAGGAGCATCTCAATTCACTATACTCTACAGTCCACAAGTTCAAAAAAAACAAAACAAAAAAATCATTGTACTCTATAGCCAAATTAGTACTATACAAACGACGTGGTTGATATGCGAGAGAGAGAATATTTATAACAAGCTAATTTGAAAATCTGATATTTAAGATGATTTCCAATTCAAACTTCCATTTTAATATGCTATATATCTATAATTTATAGTCTATAGCTATCTTATAAATGAGAGTTTCCAGAACCAAAAAAGTTTAAGAATTCTGAGTTTAAGTCCCTTTATTTTCAATTTTTTGAATCAAAGTTTAAATCACATATTTTGAATTTTTTATTCTAAATTACAAAAGTTCAAGCCATCATGTTTTAAACATATTTACCAAATGAATTCTAAATTAGAGAACTGTTGTTTGAATAGTGTGAGAATTGTGAGGAAATAAAGATGAATCTATGATTTTATTGTAGTAAATAGATTCAGACCGTGTGAATTTAGAGAGGGCGGACATAAGTTTTCAAAACCAATTTGGATAGATTCTCATGTACATAGAGGTGTCAAATGGGTTGGGCCGTCCATGGACGGTCCGGCCCAGCCCGTAACAGTGTTGGGTTCGACACGGATTGGTACAGTATTGTTACGGGCCGTGTCAGTCCGGCATGTTTGATGGGCTAGGATTGGGCCGCGGCTTCTCAGCCCACAGCCCAGGCCCGGCCCTAGCCTTTGAAGTTGGCGGCCCGGCCCAAGCCCAGTTCGGTCCAAGCTCGGATTCAGCATTTGTTCGGCCCGGTCCACGCATGATTCGGCCCGCTAGCTTATGATCGTTGGGCCCTTCGCGTGTCCTACGATCGCCCGTGACGGGCCTGCCTTTGTGAACCATCAATTTTATAATATTCATCAGTTATTGGACTTTTAGCTACTGATTTTGACATTTAGGATGCAATTTGCGTAGAATGAAATTTTGGGGTGTTACACAGAAAGAGTTAAAGGGCAACAACGCAATTTACTCTGTTTTTTATTTCTCCCTCCTTTTCCATCTCACAGAAAGAGTTAAAAGCCCTTTGCTTTTCTCCACACCAACTCAACTCTTTTCTGGGATTTGAACCTTAACTTAGTAAAAACACAAAGAGCATTCGATCTTCATAAACAAAGATGATGACGGCGACCCAATCACGAACATTCAGGTACGCCTTGCAAAACCCAAATTTATTCATCTCTCGCTTGTTCTTCTGCTCCGAAACAAACCCAGCCACAAACGACCCCGTCGATACCGTTTTCCGCATCATCAGCAGCTCCACCTCGTCCAAGAACATGAAGCAATCGTTGAAATCAAGTGGGGTTTTCCTCTCCAACGATTTAATCGATAAAGTCCTCAAAAGGGTAAGATTCAGCCATGCCAACCCTTTGCAAACTCTTGACTTTTTCAATTACACAGGCAATAGAAAAGGGTTTTACCACACGCCCTTTTCCTTGGACACCATACTTTATATCTTGGGGAGAAGCCGAATGTTTGAGAAAATTTGGGATGTTTTGGTTGATACGAAATTTAAAGACAGGAATTTGATAACCCCACGTACTGTAATGGTTGTTTTAGCTAGGATTGCTAAGGTCTGTTCTGTTAGGCAAACTGTGGAGTCTTTTCGGAAGTTTAAGAAACTAGTGCCTGAATTTGATACAAATTGTTTTAATGCTTTGTTGAGAACTTTGTGTCAGGAGAAGAGTATGGCAGATGCTAGGAATGTGTATCACAGTTTGAAGCACAGCTTTAGGCCCAATTTGCAAACTTTCAACATATTATTATCTGGGTGGAAGTCATGTGAGGAAGCCGAGGGGTTCTTTGAGGAGATGAGGGAGATGGGTGTGAAGCCTGATGTTGTGTCGTACAATTGTTTGGTGGATGTTTATTGTAAAGGTAGAGAGATTGAGAAGGCGTTTAAGGTGGTTGCGAAAATGCGGGATGAGGATATACAGCCTGATGTGATTACCTATACTAGTATCATTGGGGGTTTGGGGTTAGTTGGTCAGCCTGATAAGGCTAGAGATGTTTTGAAGGAGATGAAGGAGGATGGTTGTTACCCTGATGTTGCGGCGTATAATGCAGCTATAAGGAACTTCTGCATTGCAAAGAGGTTGGGCGTTGCCTATAGTTTGATGGATGAGATGGTGAGCAAGGGCTTGAATGCGAATGCTACAACGTATAACCTGTTCTTTAGGGTGTTCTACTGGTCGAATGACTTGACAAGTTCCTGGAATTTGTACGGAAGGATGATGGAGACAGGGTGCCTGCCGAATACGCAGTCTTGTATGTTCCTGATCAGGTTGTTTAGGAGGCAGGAAAAAGTGGAGATGGCACTGCAGCTGTGGAATGACATGGTGGAGAAGGGCTTTGGGTCCTATGTCTTGGTTTCTGATGTGCTGTTTGATTTGCTTTGTGATGCGGGAAAACTGATGGAAGCAGAAAGGTGCTTCCTGCAGATGGTAGAAAAGGGGCAGAAGCCAAGTAATGTTTCTTATAGAAGAATAAAGGTGCTTATGGAATTGGCAAACAAGCAAGATAGCCTTCACATATTGTCTGAGAAAATGGCCCTTTTCGGGCCCGTTAGAACTTCCTGACATTGCAGATGAATCATTCCCTCGTTGAATGAAACTTATCTGGTTTGAAATGGTACAAGGGATTTCGGAGTAGACATTGCACCTAATTTGCCGGATGGTGTGTGAAAAACTAATATAGGTGCACACCCAGTCGAGTTCAAAGTATCGAGATTTTGAGGATCGAAAGTATTGGCACTTCTATTCTTTCCTGATAGCCATTGGGGAATATTTTTTAGACTCGAGAGGATAGTAAGTTCCTTGTGGATTTTTCATACTTCCAGGGGATCATTTCTGTTCTAATGCAACTCTCATTTGGTATTGACGTTGACCACAAGATGAGGAATCAATGTGCTACGGCATTCTTATTGTTTCCATATGTTTTTATACAGCACAAAACCATCCATCTCGCATGTAGCTGATTGTTTTTTGTGACTGTCAATGCCTGGTGTGACTACTGTTATGGGATATCTATTTTTGGAAAGTTATGCCCAAGTTCGTTCAATTTTTTTGTTGGTTTACTTGAGCAAAAGGTATATATACATAGATTGAAGAATGCGGTGACTGTTTAAACACTCTCCTTATCTATCATAGCGCAATTTTTTGAAATGCTCTTGCTTTTGTTCTTGCTATCTAGCTTTGAAGCTGACCTATTAAGGGTAATGGATTTGGACTCTCAATTTTATCTAAAATCTGTTGAAATTGAGCTCTGAGAAAAAGTAAACACACACATTACTGGAGTATTCAAGAATACACAAACAATGTGTTGTGACGACGCCGTTAAGAATGGGATCATCACTGCTCTTTTTTCGGATTTTGTAGTAATAAGAAAGAAAATGACGGTAATCCTTTTACGATATCTTCAAAATGTATGGGGGAAAAAAAATAGAGTAATTATAATATAAAACGGGTCTCAATTTAATTTCAAGAAATAACAAGGAAATTTTCTATTGATCTAACAGAAACAGTCAAAAGAAATTTATGAATTATTCTGAAACTATCGAGTAACGAACGTCAGTGTCCGCAAAAGAAAGCAGAAACACGGTAAGGCAAGCACTTTAACAGGATCGCAACTACAGAAGACCAGGAACAATATCATCATCTTGCAAACCGGCACATTTTCCAACACAAATGCGAATAATCATCTAGGCCTGAAAAAATACATTAAAGGGAACAATCAGAAGAAAATAACTGATGAAGCAACAAAAAATCTGAAACTGAAAACGCAATGTGAGATTTCATATCAAACAAAAACAAGGAACAAAGAAACAGTGTAAAGATGACGTGAGAATGAGAAGCCACCTTGTTGGCAATGTTGTTTGAAAGCCAGTCAAGACCCTCATACAACCCTTCACCGGAGGTGGCACATGTGCTCTGGATATACCTACAATACAAGTACTTTGTGTGGTTAGTCATCCAGATACAGATAGAGGAAGAGACGAAAGTTTAAAACAATCAATTTTACCAGTGACGTTGACGGAGTGAGTGGAGACCGAGCTTATCGGTTATCTCTGCAGCATTCATGGCATTAGGAAGATCTTGCTTGTTTGCAAATACCAGCAGCACGGCATCCCTTAGCTCATCCTGTCAACATAACAAATAACATTAGAAAGTCCTTGCCATAACTTTCTGCAATAACATGTTTTGACCTACTCATTCATCATTCAAAAAAGGATAGTCAAAAGTCATATAGTACCTCATTCAACATTCTGTGCAACTCATCCCTAGCTTCAACAACACGGTCTCGGTCATTGCTGTCAACAACAAAGATTAATCCCTGTGTGTTCTGGAAGTAATGTCTCCACAAAGGACGGATCTGGAAAGACAATATAGATTGAAAACATTTATACAACAGAACCCAATTTCACTGTAAATCTCGCTTGAAAAGAAAAATTAATCTACTCCAAATATAAGTGCAAAGCCCCTCCATTGATAATAATAAAAAATAAATAAAAAAGAAGGAAATGAAAACCCACATAATAGCCAAAACACCTGCTTTAACAAGGAAAACGAAAGGAAAAGGAGGGCTCTATTCACACTCATAAAAAAACATAGCAAAGATGAAGTCAAAACATCCCAGTACCGAATAGTAAGATTTAACATCCATAAAGAACTGCATCTGCATACCTTGTCCTGGCCACCAACATCCCAGACCGTAAAGCTAATGTTCTTGTATTCCACGGTCTCCACATTGAATCCTAACCAAATGCTGAATCAGTTATGATTGCCGCCAAAAGAACAGAAAATAATCGGAAGGATAAATCAAAATAAAACGTAGTAGTAACAAAAAAATGACAAATAAACTTAACGCATCAATAAGATAGAACCATAGCACATATATTAGTAGAGGGTACGATCAACGTGAGAACACGGCAAGATCTAAGTTAATTCTAAATAATAATTTGTCGTAAGCCAAACCAATATAAAAACACAAAAGAAGTAGAAAATTCCGCCTTCATTTCGCAAGGTAATTACCAACAAAATTACACAACCATTTATCATGTCTAGTATCCCCTTAGTATGGCAAAGCCCAACACTATCATTTAAAATCGATCACAACACATCATCGGCGTCCAAAGAAATCTAATTAAAAAAATTCATTAGATTCATAGCGAGCTTACCGATGGTTGGAATGGTGGTTACGATCTCGCCCAGCTTGAGCTTGTAGAGAATGGTAGTCTTACCAGCGGCATCAAGACCCACCATAAGTATACGCATCTCTTTCTTGGCAAAGAGCCGGCTGAAAAGCTTCGTGAAAGACAGCCCCATTTTTCACCTACGATAGCTGAAAGTGAAACACATCTCATACATCAACACAAAAACCCTTGCAATTTCTGTAGTTCTCACTTTACAATTTACAAACAGATAACAAAGATTACCAATTATCATCAAAATCAAGCACATATTAAGAAATCACAATCGAAAAACGCAAACAGATACATGCATTCCAATTAACAAAAGAAAAGAAAGAAGATCGGAATTGAGGAATTAAGAAACAAACGGTTGAATCCTACATCAAGGATTAGGAAACGAGATAATCAGCATATAATGTATTTGAATCGCCAAACGTAACGTAGAGATCTGAGACGACTAAAAGTCAAAAAATTTGAGATCTAGATGCAGATCCGAGCAATTTCAAAGCAATTAGATGGATATGAACTCAGATCGGAGAGATCACCAATGCAATTAAGAATTGAAACACAAGTTTTGATTTTGGGGCCTTAAATTCAGATCGAGTTGGGCACAATTACAGAAGACGAAAAGCAATGGAGGAAAATTCGACGAGAGAGAAATGGAATTTTAGAGAGAGAAAGTCACTTGCCTGGTTTGGGGAAGAAGAGATCTCTTTCTCTCTTTGAGTCTAAGAGAGAAAAAGGAGCTGTCCTTCAACCTTCACAGAGAGATTGGCAGCCGATAGGTACGCCGTTGGAATATTTTTTGAGTATTTATAATAGTCGCACACTAACGGATATACAGCAATTAAACAGCGCCAAAGTGCAAATTTTTCACTGTCATGTTACGTATTATTAACCTATTAATTTATTTTTACAACATTTTTTTTTTTCAAACGTACAAATTTCAAATGTACATGGGAACTTTTACGGTAGTAACTTTTAACGTACCCATTGGATTGGATTAATTTTTTAACATTCGGTTTTGTGTGTATCCCAATTCAGCTTTGGCATCATCATACAATATTATACACCAGCTCTTCATTACTGGCTTTCAACCTTGATAACATAAAGGTTATTTCAAATTGTGCAACACTCACAATTATTATTTCTTTGGCAAGACCAGAAAAAATAAATTACTGATAATTTTTTATTTTTTAACTATCAGATTTATTTTAGAGACTGTTTGTTATGCATAAATTTTTAATTTGATGTAATTTTAATTAAATCAAATGATCAGAAACTGATACAAGGAGCCTACTGAAAGTCTTTATTTCTTTTTGTCACTTGAGAGAGAAGTCCACACTTGTATTCAAGATTGGATGCCAGAAAAGAAAATTCATCGACAATATCAGCTCAAGGATTGTTTTCAGGATTCTACAAAAGAGAAGTTACAAGACTAGTGTCTAAACTTTATTTTCTCCTTCATCCAACAACAGTTGGAGGCTTCAAAGCATTGATTTCTTTTTAGGTCTAAAAGAGGAAAGGTGGATCTGAGAAGAAGGAATGATTAAATGACACATAGGTCATGTGGCAGCCGACATCTCATACCATCCTCCCGTCATCCTCTCTGCCTTCTCCCCACGTTCACCTGTGAAGGTTGGACAGACACAAGGCAAATAACCGATCAAGGTAAACTCTAAGGGTAATTCATAATCAATGAAAAGCTTGGGGATTATCTAGTGTGAAGAAGTTTACCAGTGCGAACTCTGATTACATCTGCGACAGGCACCACTACAGAGACAGAGAAAAATTATTATACGTTTAACATAAAGTTCAAAATCACCTAATCGTTTAGATTCTATGTATGACAATCTGTTCGATCTGAATAGGGCGAAATACAGAAATATTTGGATTCCCTAGATTGAAGAATTAATGAAGAAAAGAAAAGAAAGTTTGAAGTCTTACAGAATATCTTGCCATCACCAATCTCTCCAGTCCTTCCCTCCTCAATTATCTTGTCTATTACTGCTTCAACCTATAACAAAATAAGTGCAGCATTTGATTTATGATACTTCACCAAAAAATAAACCGTTCATAACTTAATATTAGCATTTTTTTTTCCTTGCCAGAGTACCGAATAATTGATATTGCCCATCACATTTGTGTTCTATGGCTAAGATTATTATTAGAACTCTTCTCACCTGATCTTTGCTCACGACGATCTCCATTTTAACTTTAGCAACAAAATTCCCCTCAGAAAACTCAGAACCTACAAATGAAAAGGCAAGAACACTAATAAAAAGAAAACAGGGAAGAGCGGATCCATGCCAAGATAAAGACATACCACCCTGCCTCTCTGTTGAACCGCCTTGCGCACCAAAGCCACGGACATCAGAAACAGTTACACCGCGAATACCCATTTTCAGTAGTGCCTTGTTTCCATGAAACATATCAGTAATTAGTACCAATGCACACTCTCTAAGAGATTTAGAAATATGACAATACTGAAGTCTGTATACATAAGCCTATGTTAGGTTCTAAGATATAGAGTTGAATAAAATTAGGATGCTAATTTTACAAAGGCACGGTTAAACATGTTAAGTAGGCATTTGTAAACAACTAAACATCTTCTATATCACAGTTCAAAAGGGGAAAAAAATCAAGATCCATAGAGACAACTTTGGGAGAACCGTGATCGAACCTACTGCATATGAGCAAAACACGCAGTTACATAACCTATAATATTGCCAAAAACAAGGAGAAAATTAATGCCATGTGTTGAGAATCAAAGAATTCAGAAAGATAGAGAAAACTAAAGAATCAACAAAGAATGTTTGTGGTGAAAAATCTGTATTACGTATTATTGATGAGTGTCGAGTTCATCAATGCTTTAAACAGTCTTATTTACAACTGAGAAGTCTAACTGCTCATAAAAGAACCAAACCACAAGTGACATTATGTTCAGCACAAGAAAAAAAGACACCGCAAGTGACATATGTAATTACTCTTCTATTCATTTTATTACATCCTGCCACTAATTAAGCTCACAAACTAATTACTAAAGTATTTTCTTATGATAAACCCAACAAGAACCCCAATCGCATCCCAGCAAAAAATGAACAAGACCTTACAGGCTACTCATAGTCATCTGAAGAGAAATGTAAGGCTAGTTAACACTTGTTGGGTTACTTGGCACTTACAGAAGAAACGTTTTGGATTCTCCATGGCCTTCAAATTCAGCGGCAGAACACAACACAAGAGACATGCATAATCCAAAACAGAGTTAGACAGCGAACCCAACAAGTTCATGTATATATATTGTTATATATTGTTTGCACACGTAGAAACGCTTAAGCAAAAATATCTAGAAGGGAAAAATGAAACATAATTAAAACAGTTGAAAATGTCTGCACCTCAGAATTGCTTCCACTTTGTAAAACTTGGAATCCGGAATATAATCTACATTAAAAAAACGTTATATGAAAAATTAGCAGATACCCATATGATGAATGAAAAGAATAATGATAAAAGATGAAGAAAATAAAGACCAGGAGAGGTTTGGGCTCTAATTAGAGGAAGAAGAGAAGCGTTTCGCGAAGAACGTCTGAGAGTGACAGAATTGGTGCGGAATAAGTGAAAACCGGTGAGCTTTGTGGGGATGAGTGAGGAATTGATGGAAGGAAATTGTTTGACTTGGGAGTGAAGGGGACAGAGCGTGCCTGCTTTGACCACGGAAGAAGCCATGGCTACTCAACAGAGCTCAAGCAGCTACTGAGCCACTGACCTCTCGGTGTTAACGCAGAGAGCGTTCCAAATTGAAAAATAAAAAATAAAAATAAAAATAGGAAAAATAAAATTTGAGATGAATTAAAATTAATAGGTCACATAAGTTAATAAATACGTTAAATTATTAGTTTTATTCATAATTTATTTGATTATAAACCATAATTTAATAAATTATTATTTATAATTCATAATTTTTATTAATAATTTGTCTGACAATAAACTATAACTTAATAAATTTATGAATAACTTATCTAATTATAAACTATAACTCTCAACAATTTATAATCTAAGCTAAAGATTCACCTAATCTTTTTATATTAGCATATTTTTTACTATTTCTGAATAAAAATTATGTAACAGAAAATTGGGCTTTATGTAACGCGAAGCCAGTACTGCTGGGCCTTTCAGTGACCGCAAAGCCCAATTTTGAAAGGTGTTGAATTCTACACTTCTAACGACTTATAAATATCAAAATTAATTAATTAATTAATATATAAAACAAAATATTAAAAAAATTAGAAAAAATTACAGAATTTATTCTTAATAAATACTATTTTATTAGTATAATTATTTAACTAAAAAAGTTATAAATAAAAAATAAAAGATAAAAGTCATAACTCATGTATTTTTAAATGAGTATTTATTAAGATTAAAAGGATTTAGACATTCATTCTCAAAAAATCGTTTCGTGTTCGTGTCGGCAAATTTGTATTGCGAGCTCTAGTTTTATAGAGTAGTCTTTTTTTTTTTTTCCTTATTATTTTAAAAATAAGGGATTGTGTCGTTCTTTTTGGACAATAGTAAACCGCTTAACTATTGACCATATGCAACTCTGCAGGCTACAGCGGTTCCAAATAAATAAACGACATGTCGTTTAGTAACAAACGACAGTATACCATTAACAATCAAACGCATTTTTTTTCTTTCTTCTTTTACTCCCAACCGAGGAAATCAGCAAGGGACTGGATTGGAAATATGATGGAGAGACTGATGTTCCAGTCCATTAGGAAAGGAAGGCGTTGAATCTGAAAAAATGGCTGCGGGTGGGAGAGAGGAAGAAGAAGAGTTTGTGTACAGAATCAGTACGGCTCAAGAGTGGGAAGAGTTGCAGAAATCAGGTTCTACTTTCGGCGGACAACTTGACAAGTCTTCCGGTTTTATTCATCTCAGCTCCCTCTCTCAGGTTCTCTCTCTTTTTTTCTCTCCACAAATTTTTTTTTGATCCAATTTTGCTTTACTCGGTGTAATCAGTTGTTGAATTATTATTATCAGGTGCGGTCGACATTACAGAATTTTTTCCTAAACACCAACCATGAGCTTTACCTCCTCCAAATTGACGCTAAAAAGGTATTACCATTGCTGAAACTCTTTCAAGAATGTTCTTTTTGTAATCACAAGGAAAAACTTTTGTTGTCGTAAGTTCATCGTAGGAAAAAAGAAAAAAAGAAGAAGAAGAAGGGGTATCATTAAAGTAAAATGAATGCCTGGAAAAAGATGAACTTTGGTTGGGCAGATCTTCAGAAGCAGTGGATCATACGACACGAAACATATGGAGTATTAATTTCATTCTAGGGAGAGCTTTTGCTTTGAATTTTAAACCCCCAAAGAGAAGTAAAAAATGCTGGATTGAAGATTACAGAAAAGTGTTATTTGGTTTTAAGCTCTTCTCAGAAGAGTTTCTTATAGAAGGCACCTTTTATGGCTTTCTTAAGAAGCACTTCGGACAAGTTATTGAAACACTGTCATAAACAGCTTTTGAGCCTAAGAAGTCGCTTTTTTTTTTTTTTGCTTCTTCTTCTCTAACTGCTGAAAACTGCTTATAAAATTTGAACAGAAGTATAGTTGATTATAGGAAAGGTTGGTGTTAGATCTGTTTTACCGCTAATGATTAATTGTCTTTTTCGGATTGAGCACATTCAGGAAAATGAAGTGGAAAGTAAAGAATATCATATATTGGTATCACGGTTCGGTAATTACTTACATTTACGGAGCCACTTCCAGACAGTGAATAATCTACTAAGTCTTAAAGGTTACACACACTAATCGGACTTGTACACTCAAAAACTCCATTTTCAATAATGTCGTTGTTGAATTGAATCTAGTAATGGCTTTGTCCAGCGAGCACCACTTATTTTCAATCTTCACGGCGAACTCCTTAACAGAGAGCTTCCTCCTAAAAGCTTTTAATTCTTCTCCCGAAATGACCGTCAACACCAACTTCAAGGCTCTCAAACTCACAAACTTTTTCTCTAAAAATATTCTATTAAAACTCTGTCCTGCTTATAAGTTGAAACGAAGCCTTTAAATAAAGTTTCTAAGATTCCACAAGAATCTCATTCAAATCCAAACTTGGATATGCTTCACTCTATCTCCATGATTCTCTCTAGAATAATCTCATATTATCTCCACGCTAGATTAGATAGCTCTAAAATTTGAATTTAAATCAAATTATCTTCATCTAAATTCAAATTTGATTCTCCTTCAAAACAAAATCTCCAAATCAGATTTGAATTCTGAACTTCAAATACTAACTTGATCTCCACGATAGACAATTTGCATCTCCTTTTTAAATTCAAATCCAAGCATACCTGCATCTCTTTTTTAAATTAAAATCCGAGGATCATATCTTCTACTGTAATCTTATCTTGATTTATCAAAAACTGCTCAATTCAAATCATCAGCAACTTAAATTCAAATTTTAGAATCTGCAGCAACAAACTTGAGATCACGATCATGGTTTGAATTCTACAACAACAAATCCACAACTCTATCTCGAATTCAAATTCTGCAACCACCCGAATATTTGCATCTTATCTTAATTCGAAATCTGGACATAAAATCTGCACTTGAGATCAAAAACTGAGAAACACAAAATCTGCCCACAAAATTCATATCTCCACAGAATCTACATCTTCAATTTGAAATCCGATTCTGAATCTTAATCTGCAATCCAAATTTATCTTGAAACCTGTTTTTGAATTTTAACAACTAATTGTCAATAAATTACCAACTAATAAAAATCCTAACAGTTGGATTAATACTTTTTGTATTAGCGAGAAGGTAAATCACATATTTCCACTAATTTGGTTGCCTCATTTGCCTTTCCATATCATATTTAGTAATGTAACTCCACATCGTAATGATGAATCATGAATATAGTTGATTGTAAGATAAATATTTCTTGCAGCTTGGTGATGGATTGGTGTATGAAGTGGTTGATGGTTCCAACAGCTTCCCTCATTTCTACGGGCCATCTCGAAGCTTCAGTCCTATCCCTTTAGATGTTGTTACAAAAGCCGAGAAGCTGTCTCTCTTGGATGGTCGTTTCAGTTGTAGTCTTCTAGATTAACTCTTAAGCTCACGGAGCTTCTCTTTTGTTCTTGTTGTTTTCTTTCTTCTATGCTTTGTAGCACCAGTGGGATGGGATAAGTCACGGATTGTCCCATGTCAAAACACTTATTATGTGTCATTGCAATAACATTCCGGTGCTCTTTATGAGACAGATATCCATTATATAGCCTAATAATTAAGAAATAATTGAAGGGATAGTGTTAATAGAATAGCTCTATTTTCTTAAAAGCATGGCTATTGCTGAGCCACTAGTCATTACATATTTTGCTTGATATCAAATTAGATATCAATAATGGCGAAAGTACTTTTACCCACAGTTTTAGCCGGCAGCAGCCTTCCAGTAGAGAAAAAAGAGAGAACAATTGCACGAAACTAACTAAGCATATCATCCAAATTCATTGATCGTATAGATTTCTTAATTTATTTTCTTTAAAGAATAAATTATATTTTCCAGTCCTCGACTTCCAATATATTGCGGGGATAGCTCAGTTGGGAGAGCGTCAGACTGAAGATCTGAAGGTCGCGTGTTCGATCCACGCTCACCGCATCTCGTTTTGTAACCTGTTTTTTTTTTTTTTTTTTTTTTTTTTCCCTGCTTGAATGTAATACTGTAAACCAAAGAAAAGACCGTGAAAGGCTTCATTTCAATATATGCCAAAAGGATCAAACTTGATACGCTGCGAATGTCATGATAACAGACATTTTTTTAAGGAGTTTTGTCTGAATCCGCAGTATTCACAGATTTCTTTGCCACTTGATATATATATATATATATATCATTGTTGATCTTGATTTCCACACCATGACATGCATGCAGATGCTGGCCAAACATCAAGATATATGGTTGGAATAAACAAAAGCAAAGCAAAGCGATCTCTACACACATGACATTATTGTTAATTTGTCGACACCAATATGCTTATCACGGGTTGCTCATAAACAGTGAAAAAAAAGAGGCTGTTCAGGAAAACAGAGGGATAGAGGAGACTTACAAACCAAATTTTGGCTCATTCGGCAACAAGCCACAAGTGGGTTTGCCACAAGTGGGTTTGTCAGTCACATGTTACAACAATACAACAACTACATTCTCCCATTAATTACTGCAACATGCATGTTTCCTAGGGAACTGTTCTGCTTCTTTTTTGTTAATTTGGCATTAATGGATCTTGTTATGTTTGTAAAGAAAAGAAACAGAGTGGGTTGTATTGTATTGATTCAATCAGGACGTTATAGAATCCACTATGGGCGGTATTAAGGAGAGAAGCTCTATTATGTGTTTCCCACTAGGCTATGCATTTCTATTAATGTCACTTATTGGTCTGTCCTTTCCTCTTTTAGTTAATTCTACTAGTGAGTGCAATAGAAAGCCAGTGATCTTCAACTTTGGGGACTCCAATTCGGACACAGGAGGATTCTCTCTTGGATCTGGATTCACCTTTGGACCTCCCACTGGCCGCGCCTTCTTCCACCACCCCACCGGTCGGTTGTGCGACGGCCGCTTAATGATTGATTTCCTTTGTGAGTTTTCCTTGACTTCACCTTAAGCTTAATATATATGACTAGTCCCTGCTAGGTTTGAATTAATTGCTTGTTCTTAGTTATTTCAGTGCCTTTTCTTCTATAGGCGCATACGTTTATTCATAAGTTGGGCTAGTATTGATCTTCCTGAGGAGGTGGTGATAGTGACAAATACCTTTTAAAAATGTATGAGTCATGATTTTTATCTTTTACTTTTGATTCATCTTTTTAGTGAAATAATTACACTAATAACAAGGTATTTATTAAGAACAAGAAATAAATATCGAGACTCATGTACTCTCAAAGTAAATTATCTAGTTTTTCTTCATGAGGACCTAATTCTTGAAAGAAAGTCACATGGCCACTAGACAAAGCCCAAACAACTAGTGGATAAAAACTATTTAGGGCCCGTTTATTTGATATATTCAAACTTAAATTATTGATTCTACTATAGTATTTTTCTCTCATAAAAAATTTAAACTTCAAACATCAGAATTAAGAATTATGGTTTGAATATACTTTCTAAACGGGCACTTAGTGATTCTCTTGGCCCTTGGGAGACCTTTTTTTTTTCTAACTAGTTAAGGATAACTTTTTGGTAGGATAAAATGGAGAGAAAAAAAAAATTCATACCCACTTTGTATATTTTATTGGTTCATCGTTTAACAGTTGTACAATACAAATAAGATACCATTATACTTTGGAATAGTTTTATTTTTATCCTACCCCAAAATTCTCCCGCTATTAGTTACCACAAAATTGTAAATTCTATGGTTGAGTTTACTTTATGAAACGTACATAGATATATGTTCCTTTCATTTTGGATTATTGATCTCCTTTTTCTTTTGTTCGTTCATTTTGACTGATTTATGACAATATTGATTTCAAGGTGAAAGTTTAAATATGGACTATTTGACCCCATACATGCAATCTTTGGGGCCAAACTTCACATACGGAGCAAATTTTGCAGTAAGTGGTGCATCTACCCAACCCGAACGCAAACCTTTTAATTTGGACGGCCAAATTCGTCAGTTTCTTCAATTTCGAACTCGCTCTATTGAGTTAATATCAAAAGGTAAATATAATTTTCAAGTTCGTTTTATAATCGTCTAATAAAATAAAAAAAATAAAAAACATATTCTACAATATATATATATACACATAGGTTACAAAGATTTGGTTGGCGGTGAAGAATTCATTAACTCACTCTACACAATTGACATTGGACAAAATGATCTAGCTGCTTCATTCACTTACCTTTCTTATTCACAAGTTATAGACAAAATCCCATCCTTCATTGCTGAAATCCAAACTTCAATTCAGGTGAATTAATATTATTCTAAATTCCTATAACATTGTTTATGTATCCACGCATATACATATCAATGATTTATGTTAATTCATTTCCAATACAATTATGGGCAGACCTTATATCAAAATGGAGCAAAGAACTTTTGGGTACACAATACGGGGCCACTTGGGTGTTTGCCACAAATTTTATCTGTAACTAACCATAGTGCGAGTGATATTGACAACTATGGATGCATTCAGTATATGAATGAAGCGGCAAAAGCGTTCAATAAACAACTATACGCTCTTTATGAACAATTGAGATCTGAAATGAAGGATGCGACAATTGTACATGTTGATATATACTCCATCAAATACGGCGTCATTTCCAATCCTTCCATCTATGGTATGAGATCATTTTCCATCTTCCTTTGCTATTATTAATAATCCACCAATGTATTGCACATATATAGAGCCAAAACATATATCAACTAAAATTACAATATGGTAAAGATAAAGCAATATATATATATATATATACTTTATTCTTATTTAGTGAAGGCACAATTGAAATTTAATTTACATAAATTTATGTCATTTTAAAATCTAAGTGGGGACGTGTCTCTACTGAATTGTATATTGTAGCTCCCGACTTGTACATGAGACATTGACTCTAATGATCTGATTTAAGGACCCGGGTGGTGTTTTCGGTTATTAACTAGGTTTTGAGAATCCGTTAATGGCATGTTGTGGCTATGGAGGGCCACCTTACAACTACAAGCTCAACCATGCGTGCGGTGTGCCGGGTTTCAACGTTTGCGAGGACGGATCAAAGTTCATAAGCTGGGATGGAGTTCACTATACTGAGGCTGCCAATGCAGTTTTTGCTTCAAAAATACTCTCAACAAATTACTCTACACCTCCACTTAAGTTTCAATATTTTTGTAAGACCTAAGCATTAGTGGTTAAGTAATTGCCTCAAATTGATTTTGAGAAAATAATTATTTTGTATTTTTTTGAGTAAGTTGTTATTTTCTATTGCTAAGAATTATTTTACGGCTCATATAGGAGTCTATAAATAAGTGGTTCGTGTAGGTGTGCTCAGAGAAAAGTGTAGAGAAAGTATGCTTTCTTTTGAGAAAAAAGCGAAAAAAAATGAGGAGAAAGATAGACAAAAGTGTAACGGATTTTGGGTAAAGAGAGAAAGAGAGAAAATTTGTTGAGTGTGTAATTATGAAACTGTTAGTGAATGTTTCTCTATCTTCCGTGGACGTAGATAATTTTTCCAAACCACATATAAATCTTTGCCTTCTCTATTTTTATGTTATTTTGTTTCATTTTATTTTATGTTGCGTGGGTGTAGATGTGTGTTTTCCTTAACAACTGGTATCAGAGCTGTGGTGAAGACTAAAAGAAAAAAAAAGAGGTCAAGATGATGTCCGGGATAAAATTTGAGCAGATTAAGCGGTTTGATGGAAAGAGTATAATTTCAGCATGTGTAAAAGTACAGTAAAAAATGTTCTGATTCAACTGGGATTACTGAAAGCATTGCAAGAAAAGAAGCTAAAACGTATGAAAGATGAAGATTGAGAAGAATTAGAAGCGAAAGAGGTAAGCACTATTCATTTAAGTTTGGCTTTTAAACTGAAATATAGTGTTATGAATGAGACATCTCCTTCCAAGTTATAGAAAAAATTAGAAAAAGTTTATATGTCGAAATCCCTAACAAATAGATTATATTTGAAGAAGCAATTGTATAAGTTGAAAATGGATGAGAAAAGTGATGTTAGGGATCATATAAATAATTTTAATAAGTGCATAACTCAATTGTTAAGTGTAGAGGTCAAAATTGATGAGGAATATAACGCGGTAATTTTGTTAGCTTCCCTACTCAAATCATATGAGATTTTAGTGACTACACTTTTAGTTGGAAAGACGACATTGACTGTGGATGAGGTGTCAACTGCTCTGTTAAAGACTGCAAATATGAAAAAATTCTAGTAGTACGTCTCATAATGAACAAGTTTTAGTGGCGAAGTCAGATTCAGATAGGGGTAGGAGCAAGTCACGAGGGTGATATTATGATAAGAGCGATGATCGTTCCTAATCCCAGCCAAAGAAGGATATTGAGTGCTATTATTGTCATAAGAATGGACATATTAGGAGAAACTGTGAAGAACTAATGTACCATCTAGAAGAAAGAGAAAACAAGAACCCTAAGAGACTTCAGATTCTTCAAATGTTGTTGGCGACAGGTATGACAGTGAAGATGATGTGTATTCTGTCATTGTTGCTGGAAATATTTTTGACTTTTAGATTTTAGATTCTGGATGTTCGTTTCATATGTGTGCATATAAAGAGTGGTTTGATTCCTATAAGCCATGTGATGCTGGTACTTTGTTGATGACAGATGATTCTAGTGCTAAAGATATTGAAATAGGTATTGTGAAGGTGAAGATGCTTGATGGAGTTGTGAGAAAATTGACAAATATTAGACATGTTCCTTAATTAAGGAGAAGTTTGATTTTTTTAGGGGCTTTAAACACTTTGGGTTGTGAGTATTATGCGAAGGATGGTTTTATATAAGTCAAAAAGGTGATTTATTAGCCATGAAGGGTGTAAAAGTGAAAAACGTGTATAAACTGATTGGGACTAGAGTTCTAGGTGGAGCTATAAAGGTGGAGCCAAGCCACAAATAGTCTTCTTCTATTGTGAAAGAAGTTACATGAGTAAAAGAGTGCTACAAGATGATGACAGTTGAAGACAATAAATGCGAGATGATGAAGACTTATGGCAATGAAGATGCTTTGAAGAAAAAGAAGAAGTCGGTTTCTCATGTCAAGTTTGATGAAAGTTTGAACTCGACACATGTTTATTCTTGTTGAAATAGCATCGTTGTCATCCCATTCATGAGCAGTGCAATGATGAGTGTTGAGATTGCTTACCCAAATGAGTGAGTTGAGAGAATTTGAGTATTGTTAGGTAACTTTTTTTTTTTTGTTTTTGGACAAGAGTTATTTTATGGCTCATAGAAGTCTATAAATAAGTGGTTCGTGTAGCATTTTGTGTGCTCAGAGAAAAGTGTAGAGAAAAAGTGGCTCATTTTGAGAGAAAGAGAGAAAATTGAGGAGAGAGATATGTAAGGGTGTAAGGGGTTTTGGGTAGAGAGAGAAAGAGAGAAAGTTTGTTAAAACTATTAGTGAATTTTTCTCTCTTCTATGAACGCAGAAAATTTTTCCGAACTACACATATATTTTTGTCTTCTCTATTTTTTTTTTTTGTTATTTTATTTTAGTTTATTTTTCTGCTGCATGAATGTAAAGGTGTGTTTTCCCCAACATTAATATTTACCTCTAGCAATAAAACTCTTCACGAAGGGTGATATTGCTGGATTGTAGTACTAAATCTCAAATTTAACTACATGAGAAACTCTAAAAGGCCTCATCTGTTGCTGCATTATTAACCGTTATAATGTAGTTGGACCAGAATTTAAAGTAAAACAGGATTTCCAGGGAAGTTGAGTTGTTGGGTGTGACGAGTTGGGCTAAACTATACTAAATTTGCTTTGGAAGTAAGTTAATTAAACTTTGTTGGAGGATTCTCTATACATTTTATATGGCTATATATTCATGGTATATGCATATTTTGTTAATTAAGTACTATAATTTTGATGCTTTAGGGCTTTAATAAAGGAGCACTACTACTACTGCAGAATATTCTCACAATAACATGTAAGCGTATAATCTATATGTTTTGGGCATGATTTTGGTGGGTGCAATATTGTTTATTATCGAGAATTAATGAAACTTCAAATGAGTATCCTATATCATGGTTCCTTCTTTTTCTTTGTTTATATAGTATTGGCCATGGCGGGCCTCCAAAATCATTACATTGCAATAAAGATCTCCAGCTTGGTTAAGTATAGAGGAGTAAGCATTATCATGGTGTTTTTTTTTTTCAATTAACATTAATTATCAAGAATTAGAAGTGTGGAAAATGTTAGATTGCGTAATAGAGTTCTCTCTTCTCGGAAGCTAAAGGCTGGCGCTGCCCAAATCTAGACATTTTGCAGCCAAGGAGAAGAAGAAAAATTAGAAAGTACGTCATAATATGGTTAATGTAAGGTAAGGACCACACCTTGTTCTTCTAATTCCGACAGGCCCTATAAGCTCTACTACATCCGTGCATGCAATAAACCATGTGTTGCACTGAATTCTTTACTCATATGGTGAGTAAATAATGTCACTCAAGTTATGCCAATTATATTCTATAAAGAAATCATCTTTTCATAAATCTGTAAAATTGTTGGTTTTTTTGGTTTTTTTTTGGTTTTTTTTTTTTTTTGTGGGGCTAAAAACTGAGCTACGTGGACTAGTTAAGAAATCGTGAATGAAATTGAATAAGGGTTTTGGTAGGGGATGGAGTACCATGCACTAGGAATTAGTGGTTTAAGATCGAAACGGGCGTGAACTGCCTTTCTTTGACAGATGGTTTTTTTTAAACCTCACAATTCCTCAATAATGAACAATCAATAATTAAACTTGTTGTGCGAGACAAAATCATTCGAATGCAACCCCCAATTCTCTTAAAAGAAAAATAAAGTCGATCTTTTTTTCTCTCTCTAAAAGAATATGCCTATTTATTAATTTGTCTGCAAAGTTGCAAAACCTGGGACAAAAAAAAAACAAAAAACAAAAAATGCTAATGGCCTTGTAAAAAATGATAAAAAAAAAAAAAAAAAAAAAAAAAAAAAAAAAAAAATTTTATTTTTTAAAAAAAAAAAAAAAAAAAAAAAGGACCAACTTTCAATCTACTAGGAATGACCCAAAAAAAAAAAAAAAAAAAAAAAAAAACGCATACATAATTTAATTTAAAGTCTTGAATGTTTGGAAAGGTCTAAAAGGAACAAATTTATACGATACTTTTGCATCGTGGAAGGTTATTGTCATGAACATGTAGATACATAAATTCAAGGACAATAATTCAACAAAACAAAACAAAACAAAAAAGAAAAGAAAAAAGGATGTCATGCATTGACTAGCCAATTGGCGTGCGAACTGTGTGCATAATAGTGCAATAAATAAATAAAAATGCAGCATTATTTTCTTTAGTACATGTTCTTGGATTTACATGATTAATTAAAGTTCCTTCTTTTTTAAGGGGCGGGAATCCCCAGCACAAACTTAAAAAAAGAAAAAGACAATTGATGAATTGGGGTTTCTTGAATGATACATAGTAAAGTCCAAAAAATGGGACCATGTTTATGTTGAATTTATAACTAATTCATAAGTTTAAAGCTCAAATGATCCTGCTTTAAAGCTGCGAAATGATTTGGCCGTTAGCTATAGCATGATAAAGAACGAGAAAAAAAAATAATATTAAGCTAGGCCCTTTGATCTTTTTTCTTCGTTGTGGGCGGAGTAAAAAATATCCATCTCTATTATTAATTTGACAATCCAATCTGGAGACTGCATCAGCAAGCAAAACGACTTTTCTTCGTAGCATTTAATGAATTGCGATCCAAGCCATAACATGAAAGTTGTTAATTTTGATACTTTTGAAACTGGATGTACAAATGAGCTTCACCTAAATTCTTCTACGCGTATATATACATGATCTTCCAATTACTGAAATATATATATATATAGACACACACATGATCTTCCAAGTACTGAAATATATATATATATATATATATATTATATATTATCTGTTTGCGTGTGTAAAAATGTCAATGGGTTCAATCTCTTTTGCTTTTTTTATCTTTTTATAATTATTTTCTTTACGTAGTTCAATGCGATCTTCTCCTCCGTGCCAGTAGTAGTATCACTCTTTTTTTTTTTTTTTTTTTTTTACATTGTTAAATATTATAGCAACTTTTCGATTGAAACTTGAAAGCGACGAGGATGATAGACGTGCATATTTATCACCACGGAGGGAAATTTTCATTGGAGTCTGTGATCAAGTTTATTTACTGTCTACGTATTAATTTGATTCCTGTATTGCAACGTTTTAATTTATGATTTGTTTGATTCATACATTTAAGTTAATAATTTTAATTTTAAATTAAAATTTTATAAGAGAACTCATTTATAAAATCTTTTTTATTTAAATTTTTGTGAGATAACAGAATCAGAATTGTGAGTTTAATGGCCGGTTGGTATTATTGTAAAGTTGTAATGACTTTTTAGTAAATAAACATTCAATTGACCGGCTTTTTAAGGGATTGTTTCGTAAGTGAAAAGCGTAACATGTTTTTTATTCAACATAATACTGACGTTGAAAATGTAAAATATCAAGATATTTAATGATCTCCGACTATTATTTAACAGTTCTAACATTCTTATTATATTACCAAATTAAAGTATAGGAATAGTATATATGAAATAGTCACAGTTTTTAGTGTTATGTTTTTTTAGTGTTCATATTATGTTAAATTACTGTTATGTTATGTTAAAAATATCTAAATAACTATAATGTCACGATCCACATACATAAGTTAGAAGAGCAATCTCCCACGTATAATATAGATTAATAAAGTCAAAGGTTATATTATATTGCACATGTCTAATCGAGTTTCAGTTACGCACGCGACCAAGAAAAAAAAACTATAAAGAAATGAAAAGAATGAAAAAAAAAACTGCACACACACACACACATATATATATATATATGTATATAAGTTAAATGAAGATGGACATCAAGATAAAGAAGCAACTGAATTAAATAATGAGGATACCTCCTTAATTCTTAATTCACGGTATAAATAATCATTTATCGCTGGAAGCTTTCTAATCGTAGGTACAAAACGACAATATATCTTCACAGCATAACATTATAATATTAATGCAACTTGAACGAAGTAAAACATTTTATTTTCTTTTGAGAAACTACATGACTTGCTATGGTTTTGCGAGTATGTTATTCTAAATAATTAAGTGCCATTGTGACTTTTTATTTTTTCATTATTAATTAAATAATAATTATTTATTTTTAAGTAGAGTGACATAAATAATATCTTTTATCATTTTGAGTGGTATTTGTGGTTTTTTCTCTCTCTTTTTTTTTTGGCTGGAAAAGTGAAAATTAAACAACTGGTGGGTACTATCTCTGTCCAAGTTTTCAAATTATATGTATGCTTGGGATATCGGTATAATGCATATCATCGTTGGTTTAAGGATATAGAGCATTTTTGTTCATTAAACTTTTAGCAAATTGTTGGTTATTTTTTAATTTTAATTCTTATAAATAATCCTTTAAATTTAATAAAAAAAATTGTAAAGTGCTTAAATCGAAAAGGGATGTTAGCATTTAGGATGAAAACTTCCTTTGTGCATGTGACTATTGTTGTGCCCTAATTTGTTGCCATGATCTAAAAAAATTTATGGTCTCTACGTGCACTACTGGCAGAGCCATGCACGTTATACCGAGTGGGGCACGTATTTTTAGAATTTTGCTTTTTCTTCCTAATACTCCACGGAGGGCGCTGCTCACTAAAATCTGTGGTTTGAACTTTGAAGAAGAATCAACAGAATACATAGTAGAGTAAAAATATATCACTCAGTGACTCTTGAAATTTAATATTGCTTGCAATGACTATCCTTATAGTCGAACCCTCCAACAGAAAATTTATGCCCGTTCATTTTACTGATTCGAATTTAAAATTTGAGTTTTGTTACAGTAAAAAACTCTAAGAAACAGTCACATCTAATTTTTTACTACAGTAAAAAACTATCACATAAAGTCACATCTCAACTCAAATTAAAAACTCAAATCAACGAATTAAACGGACCCTTAGTAAGCTAACTCTAATGAGTAGTAGTGGACATATCGGCCTCAATGCGTAAAAAGAAAACAAAAAACAAAAACAAATAGGGAAAAAGAAAAAGTGGCACGTGGGCAATTTCATCTAAATTCTAACCGTCGTTAATTTCAGGACACTTTATAACATTTTACTGAAATTAAAAAGCACCTAGTTAATTTATAAAAAATAAAAAAAAAGGAGTGGTTGAAGCACCTAGTTTAATGAAAAATTGGACCAGCGAATCAATGAATATTAAAGGTCAACTACAGGTTGTCGTCACATGGATTATATGTATGTAATTTACGATACGAGGCTTACGTAGAATACATTATCCGGTGAAAACAGGTCTAGTATAATATAAATATAATATACAACAGTCTGTTTGAGAACCGATCGATTGTCTGATGAAGAACAAAACTCCATCAAGCGGGGTCCATCTAACTGTGGTGCTGACATGGTCGCAGCTGAATGGAGACGAAAATGCAGATTATATTTGAACAGTCAAAGTGTAATGACAGTGAGGTTCACTTTCAACTTTCGATTTTCATTATAATTCCTTTTAATTCCCTTGTGACCCTTCCGTCTGCACCAAATCTACCTCCCTAATTTGCAATAATATTCATGATAATTACTCAACAACTTTATTAACACTTTATATTATATATATATATATATTTGCAACTATTATTTCTCTATATATGCTCACACATTGTCCAGAACCATTTCATCAGGGACTTTGAGTCATCATCTTGTTCTCTACTTGGTGACCTCAACTTCTTATTTCCCACATTATAATCATAATATTCTTTATCTTTTTCAATAGTTTTGTTACGTGAATATATATTATATACCACTTGTTTTTGGCAGCTTTTCCAAAACTTCAATCCTTCACAAGGCATTTGAACTTTTTTTTTTTTTTTTGTTTCCTGTGTTTATAAAAGTGCCCAGATCAATATGTAAGTTGTTGATTATCAGCTAGCTCCTGATTCATCAAATGGCAACTTCATTTTTTAGAACTACTCCAACAACTCGGGGACACCCGTAGGCTATCCTTTCCTTAATTTCTTAAAAGGCCAATTTGAAGAAACTAAGAAAGAAACATATATAATTATTTAGGAGCTAGAAAATTAAACCATGGAAGAGACATTTGTACCATTTGAAGGGATCAAGAATGACCTTAGAGGAAGATTGCTGTGCTACAAGCAAGACTGGATTGGTGGTTTTAAAGCAGGCTACAGGTATATATATTGATATTTGTGAATTAGTAAGATTAACTCATGTACTGGTTTATATATAATGTTTTTCTAATTTTATGATTTTACTGATTAATTGAAAGATTACTTTGACATAATATATAACGTATGTTTGTGAATTGTGATTATGATGCAGAATTTTGGCCCCCACCACATATATATTTTTCGCTTCAGCAATTCCAGTCATTTCATTTGGGGAACAACTTGAGAGAGATACTGGTATTGGACACCATCTCTGAAAAAGACTAAATTAAAGCGGGCTTTAGATCTGTTTAGGAATATTCTAACGTTTCAACTAAAAAAGTCCTACTTTTTTGAGTGTTTGATTCCATCCTGTTTTGATCAAGTTACCAAATTATTTAGTAAAATATGTATTGTTTGTTGTGCTTGTACTGCAGATGGAGTTTTGACAGCCGTTCAAACCTTGGTATCAACGGCACTTTGCGGGATCATACACTCAATATTGGGAGGTCAACCTTTGTTGATCTTAGGAGTTGCTGAGCCTACTGTGATCATGTACACTTTCATGTTTAATTTCGCCAAAGGAAGATCGGACCTCGGTCCGAAACTTTTTTTAGCCTGGACTGGATGGTCAGCATTGCTATTCATTTACTTTTCTTCATCCATATATTATGTTTTCCCAATATCTTTTCTTATACCGCATTCAATTAATTTTACTTCTAACTCAGCTTTCTTTTTTTGGTATCAATTATAGGGTATGTGTGTGGACATCACTCCTGTTGTTCTTGCTGGCTATATTGGGAGCTTGTTCCATCATCAGAAGATTCACCCGTATCGCCGGAGAATTGTTCGGGCTTCTTATTTCCCTGCTCTTTATGCAACAAGCCATTAAAGTAAGAATTTTATGCATCTCAAAAATTAAGCTAGATCTTCAGTTTGATCGATTTCCAATTTGTGCAAAGTCAACGTAAATGATCATGCCCTTTTTTACATGCTATGTACATACATGTTTGACTTTTTGCCACTATTTTAATTTTGTGTCTTTTAATACTGTGTGTGTAGGGAAAAAATGTAGGGAATGGTGGATGAGTTCCGCATACCAAAACGAGAAGATGCAAATTCAATACAGTTCCTACCTTCATGGAGGTTTGCAAATGGGATGTTTGCTTTGGTTCTGTCATTTGGCCTTCTTCTCACCGGGCTAAAAAGCCGAAAAGCAAGGTCTTGGCGCTACGGCTCTGGTAACAAGTCAAAACCAAATTAGTATTGCGTAATTCTAGACCATCAGATCTTCATCAGTTGTTGTTGTTGTTGTTGTTGTTATAACTATTAATTTATTTTTTATGTATTTGGACAGGTTCGATGAGAAGCCTTATAGCAGACTATGGTGTGCCACTGATGGTTCTGGTGTGGACGGGCGTTTCATACATACCATCCGGCAGTGTTCCACAAGGGATCCCAAGGAGGCTCTTTAGTCCTAATCCGTGGTCACCCGGTGCATATGAGAATTGGACTGTCATTACGGTATTTTCATCACCCCTTTTGATACTGATTGGCTTATATTTCCTCTGTTTTATGAAGAATAATGTATACATTAAATATAGATATAAGAATAATAGTTTTTTGATTTTGTACTTGAAATTGACAGGACATGCTCGATGTTCCGGTGCTCTACATAATCGGAGCATTCATTCCGGCAACGATGATTGCAGTGCTCTACTACTTTGACCACAGTGTAGCATCCCAGCTTGCTCAGCAGAAAGAGTTCAATTTGAGAAAGCCTTCTTCTTACCATTATGACTTGCTTCTTTTAGGCTTTCTGGTACACATATATATACATTGAAAGACCAAAACTGCTATTTTTTTTTTTTCCTTCTTCGCTGGTTCTAATTAACTTTTCTACTTTTTTTTTTTTTTTTACTTTCTTGACTTTTATTAATCCAGACCTTACTATGTGGTCTTATTGGAATTCCTCCATCAAATGGAGTCATCCCACAGTCCCCCATGCATACAAAGAGTTTGGCTACTCTCAAACACCAGGTAATTATCTATTTAATTCAGCACGAGATTTTTGCCTTCTTTTGTTTTGATTACCATATTTAAGTTTTTGGTCGTTTTTTGCAGTTGCTCCGTAACCGGCTTGTGTCGACAGCACGGAGAAGTATGAGAAAGAATGCCAGCTTAGGACAGCTCTATGGGAATATGCAAGAAGCCTATAATCAAATGCAGACTCCTCTGATTTACCAGGACCCCTCTTCTCGGGTATTATATCTCATAATTAGTTTCCTTAATTGTATAATTAGCTGATGATTAAGTAATTAAAAAAGTAGTACTACATATGACACAACTTTGATCAGGTACAAGGACTGAAGGAACTAAAAGAAACAACAATTGAAGCGGCTTCTGGCATGGGAAACATCAATGCCCCAGTCGATGAGACGGTGTTTGATGTGGACAAGGAGATAGATGATCTGTTGCCAGTTGAAGTGAAGGAGCAGCGTCTAAGCAACTTGCTTCAAGCTGCTATGGTGGGAGGATGTGTTGCTGCCATGCCTGTCCTCAAAAAGATCCCAACCTCGGTCCTCTGGGGCTACTTTGCCTTCATGGCCATCGAAAGCCTTCCCGGTAACCAATTCTGGGAGAGGATCCTATTGCTCTTCACGGCCCCAAGCAGAAGATACAAGTAAATCAGTTTCCTTCAATTCAACTCTTTTTCTTTTAATTAAAGTTAAATTATTTATCACCGCGTGCGCAATTTTCAACTAATCACATATTCACACATCCATTCTCTTAGTTGACCGGGAGGGATGATTAGCATTTTTCTATTTCACATTTTCTAAGTTGACTTGTTTCTTGAACTCCTGAAGGGTCCTTGAGGACTACCACGCCACTTTTGTGGAAACGGTGCCGTTCAAGACGATTGCAACATTCACAATCATCCAAACAATTTACTTGTTCATATGCTTTGGACTAACTTGGGTTCCAATAGCTGGCGTTATGTTCCCATTAATGATCATGCTTTTGATTCCGGCAAGACAGTACTTGCTGCCCAAGTTCTTCAAAGGGATTCATCTTCAAGACCTCGACGCCGCTGCGTACGAAGAGGCGCCCGCCTTGCCTTTCAATCTTGCAACGGTAATTCACTGTGTATATAGTTTGAATATATATTTTTTTTAAATCTGTTTTTTTTTTTTTTGTAACTTGTGAATGAATGATTCATGATTGTATATAAATCTCTCTGAAAGCAGGAGACAGAGTTAGGTGCGGGGGCTTCCCATGCAGGGGATGGAGAGATCTTAGATGAAGTAATCACGAGAAGCCGTGGAGAGTTCAGGCACAGTAGCAGTCCCAAAATCACAAGCTCAACGTCAACGCCTGGAAATGGACCTAAAGCCTTTGAGAGCCCACGTCGCTCCCACAGCCCTCGCTTAGGCGAGATAAGGGGCGAACCGAGCCCGCGCTCCGGCGGAAGAGGACCAAACAGTCCGAGGCCATCTAGTCTGATCGGGAAGAGTCCTCTTAGCACTACTTCTACCCCTAAATAGCCTTTCATGCGTTAAGTTTTAGGCCTAAGCTAAGTTTGCAATTGTCAGGATTGGCTCTAATTGCTGATTAATCAGAACACCTAAGATTGGTTTGTTGTAACGGGTCATGCTGACGTGTCGTACTGGAGTGGTCTTGGTAGTATTATAAAAGGATGGGTTGTGATTAGTTATAAGTATAGGGTGTATTTATTTATGCTCGTGAGTGCACGAGTCGTCTCAAATAATAAAGTGTGAACAAGAGTATCGATCTCATGAGAAATGTATTTAATTTTTCGTTAATTATTGAAATTTATCGGCTCTAAGATTTTATTTAAACAATCAGAATAAGTAACGAACAAAGAAAAGTAATAAAAATAATAACTAAAAAAATAATTAAATAATAAAAGTGCAATTTGAAGATGAGGATCTAAAGAAATTCTAATGATAATAAAATTACTAGGGGCTTTGATCTCTCTCTATTAAGTTATGTTGATATCCAATTCCTAGGCTCGTCAATTTATTTCACTCTCATTAGTTTAGGTTTTCGAAAATAATTTCACTCATTCTCATGAGTGTCGAGTAAAATAGTATGCAAAACCAATCAAGTAATATCTCTATTAGTCTAACCGAATCAAGCATTCATTAAACAAACCTAATCTTGACTGCCGGAATTATTTGGCATCATGAACTCAATAAACCTAATCTAAAGTTAAATTTTCTCTCTTTTTATTCCATTTTAACTTCAACACACAAAAACAAAATAAAAACACATTAAATAAAAACTTATAAATACTCAAACTCAAACATACTTGATATATGAATAAAATACTCACTCATCAATAAGACTAACGAGATTTTCTGTACAAGAGTGAGATTGAGAGAAATACTGGGTGTGTGTTTTCTCTGTATTCGCTGGGTTCTTTGTACTGGGTGTGAGGAGTGTTTGGTTCTCGAGAAAATCCTTGTACTAAGAGATCTGGGGGTGTACAATTCCATCTCGCTAGTGGATTCAGCTAGGGTGATTTGCCCTGCCTTGGAGTAGGATTCAAAGAATCCGAAGCAAGTAGATCACTGCGTTTGTGTTCTCTTTTACGAATTTCCGATTCTTGTTCGTGATTCAATCCGTGATTCTTGGAGCTATTCTTAACAGCAATTGTGATCGCGTTTGTTCCTTTTCTATAGCGTTTTGTATGGCTTCTTTGTAAAAAGTGATCCTTTGTTGTAACAAATTAATAGTAGTGCTGTTTAATTTTGCTATATGATTTCTTCTCCTATATATGATCATCAGAGTAATATAATTTCCAATTGGTTCTTGTAAAATAAACTAAACCGTAATTCCAAAGCAGGGTTGTCCTAAGACCACATACAGCATTCTTTTTCTTTTCTTTTCTTTTCTTTCTTTTTATTTTTTTCTGTTCTTTTTTTCCTTCGTGTGTGGCTTTAAGTGCATCCACTTTTGGTAGTTTAATAAAAGGGGATACCGATAAAAAGACATACAGAAAGTAGTAAGTACCCTTACTAATTATGGCTATAAAGCCTGGACTAGTTAGTGTCGTTTCATTGATCCGCGGCTAGCATTGAGATTCATCATGTCCTACCATATTCGCACGCACTATAATATTCTTGTGGAAAGTCTTAAAGTTTAACATATCATACTTGCTGGTAAGACTTACATACACCTCATTTTTCAGTAGTCGAATGATTAAAAGAAGAAAATTATCAATTGTCATCTTATAAAATTATTTTCTATTATGACTCATTTAATGACTGAGATTTGAACTATACATCTTACATATATGGGATGTATTGTAGTCTTACTCCATAATTTTGGAGAAAGACAATTCTTCACTCGACTTTTAATGTTAGAAGATTTGACAGCAAAAAAGAAGAGGCAATTTGGTATGTTGTGAAAGAGAACCAAAAAGCAGTAGTCGTGGAACAAAGTTCTCCAAAGCCATCATTGAAGTGAATTGAATCTATATATATATATATACCATTGACAATGATGTCTTTTTCATGATACCATTATTCTTGATGTCTCTCATATAGCCAAATATTAGAGAACTTAGTGATGTCTCTTTCTAATGATTTCAAAATCTGTGTCTTTTTTTAAAATTCAGTGGACAACTTCCCATTCATTATATATAGCTCCAAAAGAAAAAAGTAACTTTTATCCATCTCACCACAATTTGATGGTTCAAGCGTAGATTTGACACATTCGTTGACCGCACATTCGAGGCTGAATGTTGCCAATTATCTTATCATTCTCTGCATGTCCATCTGCAAAATCATGCAGTTGCCCGGCTCTGTAAATTGACACTATACGTGGATACAAATAAAGCCAGTTAAACCTATATATTCCAACAACAAAAATGAAAATCAAGTCATATATATCTGAATAGAGATGTGATATTGACGTAAAACTATATGGGGTTTTTGTGTAATTAATTCGTAAAGCTGATAAGAAGAGATTAATGTTTTTATGCAGGCCTATTATTCTAGGGAGCAATATTTATAAGCTTTTTTCATTGATCACTGTCAACTAATTAAAATGATATGTGTGGCAACGAGATTATTAGTGTTTTGACCATTATTTGAAATAAAGACAATTCATAGCACCAAATTATCATGAACATTATCAGGAGGAGTCTCCTCCAATCAAACAACGAGTATACTGGAATATTGATTAATAGAAAAGACCAAACTAGCTAAGCTATTTAGGCCACGTTATTTAAGCGTGCAGAATAAACATATGTAACGTCCTATTTAATAGAGCACTTAATGGGATTCGACTATTGTGTCTTTTATATTACTTCAGTAAATTAATATTGAATTAAAATACCGTGTCAATTTTCCTCCACCCTAACTATACGTTGAGTAAACCTTACTTAAAAGTAGTGGCGTTCCTTTCTCTCTTTGAATAAAAAATACAATGTCAATTAAAAAATTATATCGCATCATTTAATATGTCATTTTTGTTAAAATAATTTAATTTTCTAACACGATATTTTTTGTTTGTTAAAATAATTTAATTTTCTAACACGATATTATTTATGGACAAAAGAGAGGGGACATGTGAATGGAATTCCACCTTATAAGCTTTCTGACTTTATTATGTGGGATTTGTGCACTATAACTTTATGAAAGAAAGCTTAGGCTCTTAATTAGGTCTGTAAACACTTTCTTTTCTTTTTTTCTTTTTTTAATATGGTTTTTTTTTTTTTTCCAAAAAAGGAGGGAATCTATAGCTACGTTGAACCTGAAAATATACGCCTTCCCTTTTCCCTCGCTCTTATTACATTTTTCTTCTGATCTTGGGGGTAATTGGAAGCATTCATGATTGCTTGTCTTGCGCAAGATCTTCCAACTTGAATGATAGGGTCCAAGTTGATTTAATTCCCTATTTTTATAGCTGAGATCTTGCTTTCTCCTGTATGAGTTGCGCATATAATATACACGATTTAGTATTAAATAATGGCCGAGTTATGGGCATCTCCAATATTGTAATAAGTAAAACTATGTAAAAAAGCGTTGATTTTTCTCTTGATATATTGATCATCAATTGCAGCTTTGATCTTGCTCTGATCTTTAACTTGCTTTTTTATCCTCTTTCCATCGTGCACACTTTATCTTCAACGGAGTCTCTGCCGATCAATATTGCTAGTATTACGTTACAGTTAATCAAAGTGAGCCATATCTTTTACTTAACGCGAGCATTATAGCTTAATTCCAGAAAGATAAAAAGTGTAAAAATTGGAAACCATCTTTAATTAAATTGGCCAAACAAAATATATGTATATTTGAATCAGCTGAATTTTTTGAGTCAATTCATTGATCAACTGATTCTAAGGCAAATCTTGCTGTATTAAACAACTTTACGATGGAATTCCTTAATTAATGGCCAAACTACATGTTACACCAAGCTTAAAGATCACATATAAACAAAAGAAAAACATTGTTACTATCATATATTCATACCATTAAGAGTGTTTTTTTTTAAAAAAAAAAAATATTATGACAAATTATCATAATTTTAAGAGCTGGTTTCTTTTCTTTTCCGTCAAGGAGTGCGCAACAGCGTTATGGTAAACATATGCAATGATGTATTATATGTTTTTAGTCGGTGAATAAGTGGGATGCACTGTTTAATCTTAGTGATAGAGAATTCAGAGAAATGGACATTCCAGTCTTTTCTGGCGAGAAAAGATAGCTAGCAAATTCAACGGGCCAGAATATCGTCTCCTCACAATATATATATATATATATTATATAAAGAGACTTTCTTTTGCAATATCTATTTCGAATTTGTATTAAATCTCATCAAAAATTAAATCAAATTAAAAAAATTATACAAATCGACTAATAAACATGGAACATCCAAAAAGCAAATATTCCAATCAATTAATGTTTTTTTTTTTCTTGACTTTACTGGCCTACCCAACCCAATCTCTTTCACATCTTATTAATTTTCTTGGTTAGTTGCATTACACATATTCTTTAATTACAAACGATGCAAAAACACGTGAAGTGACAAAGTGGACAACAAATGACACTTAACAGAAGTCATACATGATAGCATTACTTTCTGAGGTTTCTTTTTAACTTTTTGTAAAATTATTTATTATTTTTTGTGAAGCTCTTTTTCGCTTGGCAATGAAGTTCCATTTTATTTGCAAAACAACATAAAAGGGGGATGGGGCCTAAGATTACTTCTTCATCTTTTTTACTCCTACTCTCTCAACCACTAAATTTGGCTTTTTTTGTTGTTGTTGTTGCTATTACACTAAATTTGGCTTTAGACTACCCTTGATGCGACACATATGGGATGCATATATTCATAGATTGACTCACTCGCACAAGTCCTATGGGCCCTACCTCAACGAATCATGTGTGCCGGTGCTGTGGACCATTTGTGCTACCGTGGACACTGTATCATGCCCGTGATCATCACTACGATCAAATTAAATGGGCCTCAAGGGGCCCAATCCAGAATACAATCCACTAGCAGAGTTTCATTGATCCCGAACATACAGTTTTAGATCCAGAGGCCGCCAAACCAATCCCCATGTTTTTTCAACAAAATTCGTGGTTGGGAATAAAGTATTCATGTCATAATAAAAGAAAATGTAAAAAGGGTTCTCCATGTCTTTCCTTTGACAATATAGAAAATTGGATTAGTGCCCCACTCCACCAACCCTCTCACAAGATCTTTCTTATCTTTTGTTTGAATAATATTGTCTGAATTTGAATTATCAATATATATATATATATATATATATATTGTCTGACTTTGGGATTTGATT